ATGTGTGGTTATTTGTATACATCTCTAGGTTTGACTTCAGAGACTGGCAGCCTGACCATTTGTTTCACTCCAAGGAAGACAGATGAATATTCTCCTTTGACAGCTTCAGTTTGCCTGCTTCAACAACAAACAATCTTGGTACCAGCAGCCAGGAAGTTAAAAGATGAATTGCATTGGAAAATTCGGCTGTCAGAGACCTCTCTAAAGTCCTGAAGAGCAATGATATTAGTCTGGAGACTAAGGTGTGCCGGATACAGGCCATGCATGATCTTTGCAATTACTTGCTTGAGTAATTCTGCATCAGAGAGCTAGACAATGACTAGGAATGATAGGAGAGTTTATGCTTTTGAGCTGTGGTGTTGGAGAAGTGTATTGAATACATAATGGACTGGTAGGAGAACAAACAAGTTCATCCTGGAGAGGGTGAAGCCAGGCTGTTCCTTGGAGGCAAGGATTCTGAAGCTCCGTCTGACATACTTTGGACATGTTGCAAGGCGGGACCAGTCCTTGGAGAGGGACAGCACAGGAGAGTAAAACCCTCGATGAGATGGATTGATTCAGTCAGTAGGGTAATGGGGATAGGTGTGTTGGAGATAATGAGGTTAACAAGGGATAGAGCAGGGTTTAGGGCTGCTGTACATATAGTCATTATGAGTTACAGGTGACTCAACGGCACACAACAGCAACAACATGTAAATTGCAGCCTCTGAAATCCTGCAGGAGGGTCAACGAAGAGTGGGTTCTGACTCGGTGGCAATGAGTTACATTGTTCTCTTCTCATTCTACCAGGTCTACATTTCCAATTATGACCAATTTTTTTTAACAATATAGAATTATGGAGTTTCATCTCATACATTTCCACAATATGAGGGTTTCTCTGACAAATCCTTGATGGAATTCAGCCTTTAATTGAACTTCCTTGGTAGCTAATTCACACTTTGCCCCCAGTATTAGGAATTTCTAAGTTTTAGGAAAATCTTCTTTACCCTTAACCTGATTTTATTATTTTTCCCTTGCCCAAAATTCAGAGTAGATAGGTTAGAGATGTCTTTCTCAAGCCCAGCTTTTTGGGTGAATCCTTAATGCTAGCCCCAAGAAATCCATTGCATATAATGAACTTTCCCCCTACATATCTAGAATAAACCCATTGCCAATCCAAGTCCAATCCATGACAATGTCTCCAACAGTTTCTAATCTTTATGGGAGGAAATTTCTCAGCTTTTTTTCTTAAAGCAGTTAGTGGACTCTAACCTGTTAATAGAGCAACATATAACAAGATACACCACCAGAGCTCTTTCACTCCTGGGCTAGTTGTCATTGCATACCATCATTCAAATAATTTTTCTGTGGTGTGATTCAGCTGAGAAGCTTTGAACAAGAGGCAGGAAAGTGGTACCATTCACTAGTTATGTGGACATAATACACTTACTTTCCTTCTTTGAGCCTCAGTTTTTTAGGAATGATAAATTAAAAGCATATAAACAAACAAACAAACACACCCAAAAAGACTAAGTTACTTTTTATTCCAATTTATGGAAATGTTACATATATTACTCTCCTAAAACCTAGGCAGCTAGAAGCCCAAATTCACAGTTCCAGCTCTCAAGGAAGCCCCTACCACCTCTCTGAGGGAGAGAGATGGGCAGTTTAGTTGTGATTTCCAGCTTCTTTCTTCAGTAGGGCAGGCCTTCCCCAGAGCCCTTCCCCAAGGTCCACGGAGCTTACTAACAGAGGCACATGAGTCCAAAAGGACACACTTCACTCCTGGTATTCACTCTCGGTGGCACTGAGGTCCCCCTGTCCCTCTTTCTGGGCTCTCTTTTCTCCCCTTTTATCTCTTGTGAGACAATAAACATTACAGTTTACGCCCTTGGGAAACTCGATGTAGGTCCTGAGTTGTGATGAGATAAATGTGATTGATTTTGCATTCCACCCTTACTGCTACAACTCTTTAGCTTATCAAATCATGAAGTCATTACATGGTTATCACCTCATGTGATTACACATATAGTTGTATTTTGGGGGACACACAATTCAATGCATGACAGAACTCTCTAGTATATCAACATCTCCCCTGAAGTATGACTCTAACAGTTCAATATTGTATGGTATATGTTATGTGGTATATGGTATACTTTGTGTTGTGCTTGAACATAATTTTTAAAGCATTTGGTTTGTGGAAGGCTATAGCAGAGCCCCAAAGCCCAGGCTTCATTTTTATTCTTGGTGTAAGTTCAGAGGATTTTGAGTTTTTAACTATTAAACCCACCATAAGGTGGTTCCTTGCAAGTCTGGAGAAGCCCAGAGAAGGACAGTCTCCCCCAGAAAAAAACAGAGTTGCAAGTAAATTACAATAGCTAGACAAGCCCAGGAAAGGTTTGTGCCAAGAAACTGGAAACGCCTCTCGTCCTTATGATTTACCAAGAATAATGTCACAGCCCAAGCCATAGCTAAAACTACCATGGTGGCTGAAGCTGCAGAACCAATCTTGTTTGCTTTCTAAACTTCAACCATGCACATATCCCTATCATATTCTTTTGTCAGTTTCTGCCTACAGCCTTGAGGGGATTGTACTGGCCGCTCATGAGGAACTGGTTATTATTTTCTGTGGATTCCCCAGCATAGCCATAACCAGGCCACAGCTGAGATCAGTGTACAAGACAGGCATGAGCACCTTCTGCAGAGAATTCTGCCCAGTGTCGCACCGAAGGGGATGCTGTGTCTGAACTTTGGTCTTAAAGATTAAGCTTACCCATTGTTATGTTGGCAACACTTAAGTATAAGGAAAATGTAGTCTCCAGAGACTGAACTTTTTTAGGAGGATTGGCTTAAACTAAATGAAAACCATAGGGAGACTAAGAAAAGGGCCTTTTCACAGTGCAAAGCTGTGAGAGGACCTCTGCTTTAAGCCTTCCCTCTGTCCGTGTCCCTGCTTTCTTTCTGCATCTGCAGCAATTTTCTCAGCTGGCATAAATGAAAGCCACAACTATGAGCTGGTGGAATTCCTTCAGCACCATGCTGTGGGCTTCCCTGATTCTGACACTGTCTTTGTCCTGTTTTGTCTTAATAAAAGCCTCCCTCTAGAGTATGATGTATTTTCTCATATTGTGAGAGGCACCAGACCTCAGACAAAGAGTTCATGCTGGGAAAGACACAGGATCATCAAAAGGAAGATCCTCAACAAGATGGACAGATGGACTGATCCAGTAACTGTAACAATGGGCTCGAGCATGTTTGAGATTATGATGATGGTGCAGTATAGGGCAAGATTCCAATCTGTTGTTCCCAGGATAGCTACGAGTCACAGCTGATAAGATGGCACCTAACGACAATAGAATGTTTTAATCTGGAGTGTCCCCTCCCCCAAGAAATCCTGTATCTGAACATAATTATCTGTTAAAAGCTTAAATATATCAATTCCAGTGGGAAAAAGCCCGTCTACCTCTTTCATAGTTGGCACTTAGAAGACTTAGCTCTTTTTTCCTAATAATAACAATCTTTCATCTGGGGTAAATGTATGCCTTTACATGGTTAAGAGAACAAAAGTATCAGCCAGATAAGCACAGGATTGTGGAAAGCCACCACTGCAACTGGTACTTTTTCTTTTCACATTAACTGTTGGATCAGACCAGTGTGGTGTGTAAATATACTAGATCCCCTCCTCTAGTGTCATGGATTTGTGACCCCCCCTAAAATACATTATATAATGTAGATCAGAAATATGAAAGAGTTGGAAGAGGATTAAGGGTTGGAGGAAGATTAAAGGTAGAATGCTATATTCTCAAATCCCCTCAAAGTCCTAATCAGATAATAGAGTTCTAGTTGGGCATGGCCTTTTAGTACTTTTTCTCTTACTAGAATGAAAGGGAAGAAAAGTTGACTGCAGGGGGAAGGGAGTAAATAAATCAATGCCTGAAATGGTTTGTGTTTTTGCACCCAGGGCCAATAAGCAATGAAACTCCTTGATACCAGGGACGTCCAGGCCTATGGATGTGAAGAAAACAGACCATCTTCCCTACCAGACAGAGAGGGCTGGTATCTCAAAGACACCTAGTCTCTTACCTTGTGAGACAATAAATTCTTACTAAAGCCATCCACCTGTGGTATCTGTGTTACAGCAGCATTAGGTAATACAAGCATCTAGTTTACTGTTTAATGGCAGTAATCTTACCCATTGTGATTACCAAAGAAGATACTCAAATATTGTTGAATTGTTGAGTGATTAAAGGCTAACAAAGTTCAAGGACTGTCACAGATTTATGACATAAGACTGTAGGAATAAGGTTTCCACTAGTGTGTTTTGGGGGATTGAGAAGCTGGGATCTCATGTAAATGACAAAAATATGTTAAAAAGTCATTCGTAAGAAAATGACCAAAATGTGGGAAAACTAAAATCACTCTAATCCTTCACAAAGAAAGGAATACACACTAATTTAGTAATTTGAAGAGTCACAAGATTTAGGTTTATTTTTGTTGCCTTGAGTGTGGCTGAGACTGGAGCTTGTGTAGACATTCCTTTAGAAAAGGGGAAAGGAGGACTGAAGACGCTGAGTGTTAATGAAATATGGAAGGACAATAGGTGGAATAGGAATGAAGCCGTTTTTGAGAAGGGAAGGTGGAGTCAGATTCTGAGGTAGGGGCAGTTAAGGAAGCTTGAGTTACAAGTCTCAGAGCACGAGAATCAGGTGGTAAAGGGGGAAAGGTAAGGTTTATGGAAATCAATATAGTTTGATTCATTATTGCAATGAACAAGGGTTGCTGCTTTGGGGGGAGGGTAATCCCATTAGCCCCAATTTATGACTATCTAAAAGATAGCATCTTCTACCACTTTCTATTATTCCTGCCGCATCTGGATTAACAGAAAGTTTCCTTTGAATAGGCTGTCAATGACCCTCAACATTACTGTCTACATGAATATGCATGTCATCTAATTCCTTTTAAAAATAAAGACTGCGGTTGCACCAAGAAAAGATTGGGGAAATGCCTTATTCGTAAGCTAATCAAAGGGGGCCGATGGGATCAAGCATCCGGGCTGCGATGACAGCTCCAAACGTTGTCAGATGCTGCTGCAACACACTTTTTACGAGATCGAGTTTAAACCCAGGCGTAGGGTAAGGGGAGAATCTGGCTGGGCGGACTCGGCTCCGGCCATTAGATTCCCTTCCCTTTATAAGGCGCGGAGGGCTCCGGCCTCCACTGATTACCCGACGGCTCTCGATGCGCACGCCAGCCCGTGGAGTCAGCCGGGAAGCGGGTCCAGGGTAAACAGCCTGAGGTCTGGTCATGAAAAAGTTGTCTCCAGACACCATCGCCAACGCAGAGGCCGATGACGATGAGCGCGGGTGGCCGTTGGGAGAGCGGTTGGCCATTCTGTAGCCTTGATCGCCGGCAGACAGAGGTCCATTGTTCAGAGACATCCTCAAACACTGTTCTCGGTATCTTTGTTACGTCCTGCGATCAACGTAGGCGCCTCGCAGGTACCTAGATCAGTCCAGACTGCTTCCGCCCCCGAGACAAACTGCTTCGGAAGCCATAACTAGGTGGCCGCTGATGGAAAAGCCGCCCCTAATGGGCCTTCCCCTCCCGAGCATGCGCATTCCGCCGCCGAACGTCAGCGTGTGCCGTGCGTGGGCGTACTGGACGTCTACGTCGAGTGACACATAGACGCACTGGGCGTGAGGTTTTAGAGAATGCGCAGTAGGTTCCTCGGGTAAGACTTAAGGCCTTAGTAGGAAGGGGGCGTCGCTAATATGGGGGCTGCGGCGGCCGAAGCGGATCGCACACTCTTTGTGGGAAACCTTGAGACTAAAGTGACAGAAGAGCTTCTTTTCGAGCTTTTCCACCAGGTAAGCGGCTGGAATCAGCCCCCTTTCCTTTTGTTTTCCTGCTGTTCTAAGTCTGGCCCGGCGGCCGACGCTGCATTCATCGAGCGAGAGTAGGGTCGGAGTCCGCTGTAGGTGGTCCTTACTGGGGTGAGGTCGCGCTTTGAAAGTAAGGCGCTCTCTGGGAATTGCGACCGTAGAAGAAATCTAGTTAGTTCAGGCCAAAAGCTGTGATTTAACGGCGTTTGGAGGAATCTCAAGCACTCGCCCTGGAAAGGATTCCGGGCTCTAGTATGGTGAGACCCCTTCTCCAAGCTGTGCTTTTTCCGTTCCACGCTTTTTCGCATCTTCCTTCCCCTTAAGATAGTTAACCTGTCTTCGACAGATCTTCCCAAATTTCAGTATGTTTCGGTTTCTTTGCCAGCTGCTGTTTACTTCCCAACTGTCAACAATTCAGTTCCGACTGCGTGACCCTGTAGGATAGAGCGGAACTCTCGGTGCGGGTTTTCCCAAAGCTGAAACGCATCTGCCTGCTAACTGAAAGGTCGGCAGTCCGAACCCACCGGGCGCTCTCGCGCGCCTCCCGGAAGAGGCGCGATGAGTCACTGTCCACTCGAAGGCGTGGTTTTTAATCTTTCTGGGAGTGGATTGCGGCATAGTTTTCCCAGTTGATCCCCCGATAGTTTTGAGCTGATGACCTTGCTCGGCAGCCGAATGCTTAAGTCAGCGCCACTCTTGGGTGCCATCGAGTCGGAAGGAAGTTGTCCATCCTTCTCCCATTTAACAGCTGGTGGATTCGAACCATGCGTCTTTGGGTTGGCAGTGAAGCTCCTTACCACCAGAGCTCCCTAAAAGCCCTCTTTGGAGCGCTTTTTTATAAAAAAAAAACAAACCCAACCAACCACCACCAAAACCTCTGTAAAATTACAGCTTTGTAAAAATATTTTAAATAGGCTCGGTAAAACTCTGGAAACAAACAGCGTTGCTATGTCTATTAAAATTCTGGAATCTTCTGTGCTAATTTTCATGTTACCTTTTCTCCCATTCAGTTTCCCCGTACCAAGTGATTAATTGATACAAACTTGAATTTTTAGCCCCAGAGAGTCAGTCCCCCTTTTGTTTGTTTCCACCACCGTGGGGAAATGTGGGATACCACGAAATTGGAATTTGATTGTCACATCCCAGAAACTTCTCAAACCAAGTAAAAGAATTTGAGCCCAGCAACAACAAAAAAGTCGCTGCAAACTGCTAATTCTGCAGACTGTAAATTCATTCAGTTAGTGTTTCCCCAGTTTCTTGTGGCAGCCCCATCCCCAAATAAGTTACCTTTTCAACCCTCATTGTGTTCTTTTTATTCTAATCAAATGTATAAGAGTGGGGATTTTTCTTTCTTTAAGCTCCTGATTACATTTATGTTGCTGTCAAATTTTGTTGGTTTCATTTGCAAAATTGAGATGTTTTTTTCTTATTGCTTTGTTTAATTTTAAACTTGTTGTTTGCTTGTAGGCTGGGCCAGTGGTAAAAGTGAAAATTCCAAAAGATAAGGATGGTAAAGCAAAGCAGTTTGCATTTGTGAATTTCAAACATGAGGTGTCTGTTCCTTATGCAATGAATCTGCTTAATGGAATCAAACTTTTTGGAAGGCCTATCAAAATTCAGTTTAGATCAGGTAATCATTTAGTGGGAATGCTTGGAGGGGGGCTTGTTTGCTGCTTTGTTTTTCTGTTTTGCACTTTGTTTCAAAAACTACTTTTGAAATTACAGTACTGTTAAGCTTTGTGTGATAGGAAACTTTGTAATTCCTTGAAAATGAGAAACAGTGACAGTATGGATTACAGTTTTTAAACCACATCTAAAATTTAACTTGGTTTAGTTAAAAGAAGTTTTGGTTTGGCCTGTTATTTTTGGTTTTTTAGACTTTGGAGCCACTGTGTGAACGGAATCTGGTTATTTTCTAAAAATAACTTCCTAATGGCTTTATAATTTACAAATTTTGATTCTTGGGATTGTGAGGATGAAATATAGAATTTATAACATCTTAAACTGTGATTTATTCCTAAAATGTGCACATCTCCTAAAATTGAAGTATTTGTCAAATAACTGTACGACAGGAATGAAATTAGAACAGATTATGCTGAGTGACATGTCAGCCACAAGAGCATAGTTATGGTATAAGACTCTCAGTATAAAAAGACAAAGGTTTATACAAGGAATAAGTCTTAGAGGATTAACAGGGCTAAGAATTGAGGGAGAAAGGAACAAAATAAATACATATCCTCAATGGGGGAACACCTTTCCTCAGAAACAACTACCTATTTCAAAATTATTTCATTCAAGTATTTAGCATGGTTCAAGGTTAGCTTTTTGATGTTATTCCTGCAAAAAAGAGAATTTACAGAAAACATTTATATAAAACAGTCTTATGATCCATATTGTTGTTGCGTTAATTGCCGTCAAGTGGAGGTTGACTCATAGGGACTCTGTGAACAAAAGACTTAATGCCTTTCTTGAGCTAAGTTCAAAGAGTTTCCAGAGGCGTGTGGTTTAGGAAGTGGATGCCACTCCTGCTTCCCAACCTGTTTTACAACTGTGAGCTCCACCAAACACTGTCCACATGGGAAACTCATTTTGGTATTTGATATCCCCATGGCACAACCCAGGTTACCTCATATAGCACATTGACAAAGAGTGATGGACAAAGTGGAAGAATGTTTCTCCAGATAAAACAGTACTAGTCTCTTTTAGCAGTGGTTAAATGTTTTTGAGTCAGATATGACTCAGAGTAGCTTTGCATAAAAGACCTGAACTCTGTTCTATGATTAACATCATTTTTGTACATTTAGAAGAGAGTTTGTAGAGTTTCCAGAGGCACCTAGTTTAGGAAGTGGATACCACTCTTGCTTCCCAACATGAATCAGTCTGGAAGCTCATTCACTCACTCTACATAATGACATAATGGGTAACTATTATGGTATTTGACATGACTATGGGATAATGTTCAGCATCATAGCAACTTCAGGTTGTTCAGTGCAGCAAATAGACAAATGATTATTGTGTCTTTTAAAGAATATTCTTCTAAAAATTAATAAATTTGGCCTGAGGCCCTCAGGCCCTCAAAATATTACCATTAGATGTTGAATTTTTACATAGTATTGGAGTACCTTGTTAACTTGTTTTGTGCATTTATAATTTCCATTATAAAGCTGAAAAGTAGCCCACTAAAATTTGAGTTTGTTTTCTATTTCAGCTTATGTCTGTCTTTTTTTAAATTAAATTTTTTATTCATTTTAATGAAAGTTTACAGAGACTTAGGGTTTCCAGTCATTCATTGTTGTACTTTTTTACCTGCCCATCCCCTCCCCCCAATTCACCCCTCTCCTTGATTGATGACAATAATAATCATATATCCCTTTTAAATAGTTCTCTCCCTCATCTGTTGCAATGCAGTATACAGCATTCCTCCCCTTCTTCTCTCAACCCCAATGTCAGATGTCAGTCCTGTTTTACAATAGTGGCCCTATGCAATATTTGTCACTTGGTGACTGAGATATTTCACTCAGCATAATGTCCTCTAGGGTCATCCATTTAGCATAATATTTCATGAGTTCCTTGTTTTTTCAGTGCTGCATTGTATTCCATTGTGTCTTAACTTTTTTTTTTTTTAAGTAAATTAGGTCAGGGAGATGATTTCAAATTTTTACCAAGATTTTTTCTCCCCACATTATGTCATTTTAGGAAGTAGCCATGCCTCACAGGAAATTTCATATCCACAGCACCACACTGGAAATTCAAGCCCTACTCTTACTCCAACGTCTCCTAGCAGGTAATATTGCTCACCTGTTGGTATCATTTCAGGAGTTTTCATAGGTAGTGCTTCATAATGCTTACTAAGTGAATAGCTTCTTTCTTTCTGTTCTACCTCTTTATTCTTCTGTAATACATGCCATATTAGATCCTACTTACTATGAAGCTTTGTCTCACATACTTTGGGCATGTTACCAGAAGGGACCAATTCTTGGAGAAGGATATCATACTTGGAAGGGTGGGGGGACAGCGAAAGAGAAGACAACCCTGGATGAGATGGATTTACTTAGTGACTGGGGGAATGAGAGTAGGCATGTTGGATACAATGAAGTTCACTCAAGATAGAGCAGAGTTCAGAGCTACCGATTTCAGAGCTGCTGTACATAGAGTTGCAGGCCACTCAACAGCACATAAAACAACATAAAGAAATTTTGGGCATATATACATAGAGTTTGCATTTATTTGTTGTATTTATGTGCTGAAGTGTTGGAACCAACTTAGCTAACTTAGGTTTTCAGAAACTGTAAGTGGATAGCACAAGAGGAGATTGCCCATCTTTCTTCCTTTGAGCAATGCCTTTGGGTTGGCAGTACAACTCCTTATTAGTAGGCCCCTAAGAGATAGAAGTAGCCCTTACGGCATAGTGTGATATGTTTTATGCTGTTAGCTAAGATTGACAGTCTCATCACCACCACCACCTCCAGCAGCTCCAAGAGAGAAAAATGGGCAGACTACTCTCATTAAGGTTTATAGCCTTGGAAACATGATGGAAGAACACTGAGAATTGGAATTGACTTGATTGCTATGGACAGCTATTGGTTTGGATTTCGTAATACTATACATATAACTCCCCCCAGATCAAACCTATTGCCATTGAGACCATTCTGACTTAAAATGACCTGTCAGATAGAGTAGAGCATCCTCAATAGGATGTCTGAGACTGTAAATCCTTACAGAAATAGGCTGCTACATCTTTCTTTCAAGGAGTAGCTGGTGACTTTGAAATGCTGACCTTTAGGCCAGCAACTGAATGTTAAACTACTGTGGTGCCATGACTTCTCTTAACCCATATGTCTATTCAGTTGATAGTGAACAATGAGGTTAGGGAGGCTAACCCCACATAGTCAGAAATATACATGGCTATTGTTACATTTCTGATAAACCGTCAGGGTACAGAGAATATTTTCTGTGTTGCATGTATCATATTCTGTACCTACCTAAGGTGTGCATTTTAAATATAGGAAAAGTATGTTGAGAAAGTGCAAGGTTTTTTTATCCTCTAGGTGAGAACATTGTAAATTTCCTTTCACTATTTACATTGATCTATAGGCCAGTTTCATTTATCTTGACCTGACAGTATCCATACATGCAGACCTCAGTCTAAGGGATACATGTTACACAGTTCTAGTCTTTCATATAATGTCGTGACTTTTTTCAAAATTATATTTAAAGTACAATTAATTCATTAAAACACTCTCTACATGAGTTTTTCTGTAGACTCTAAGGTACCTCTGTAGGAAATGAGAAAGTGCAAGTCCTAAAAGCACTTATAACCCTAGTTTCTTAAATCCCAAACCTGAATTTCTTCCCTGGCTTAGTAAGTAGAATCACTTCTAAGTTATTCACACCAAAAAGAGTTGGACTTTATCCCTTATTACTTGTCTTCCGCATCCATTATAGTCTAGGCCTTTGCACTAGCCCATGGGTTGCCAATACAATAGGAACTGTTTCAGACTCTGCAAGCTCTATTGTTTCTGCCACAACTTCTCAGGTCTCTTATCTAGAAAGGATTGTTTTCCAGTAAAGCTTAATTTATAAAAATGGAGTTGGATTTTGGCCTCTAGCCTTATTTGTTCACCCTCCCTTTCCCTCCATTGGAGACATAGTAACTGTCACTGCCATTGAGTTAGAAGCTCTCATAACATCTTAAGTTACAGTTTCATTTTTTGTCTATAGTTACCACCAACTCCTTTGTTTTTTTCCTTTGTTGTAGTGCTTGTATTCATTTCTTCCATTTTATTTTGTCTACTGGAGCCACATCTTGGCTAGTAGTTTGGTATTTCACAACTCTGCAGAGAAATAAAAGTAAATTGAGAATCCAATGTAAACATATGTTGGTGCTTTAAACCAAGCCACACCCATGCTGTCAAGTCAATTTCAACTAATTGTAACCCTTTAGGACCAGAAGGGCTTTAGGGTTAGAAACTCCATTTGGATGACACCACCAGAGCTCCCAGGGGGTTGGGGGGGGGGGTATAGAACCCCCCAAGTACTCTTAGCCTAGCTAAGAGCAGTATCTTCCTGTGTATGATGAGTATTCAGTAAATATTTGTTGGATGAATGATTATTTTCTTCTTTTTAGTTGGTATGAAAGAACTACGGATAATGTGTCTCCATCAACACAGACAGTTCAGAGATCTTTCTCTACTCCAGAAAATTTTCAGAGACAAGCAGTGGTAAGGCTGAATTTTTAGAATCTAGAAATAGAGCTTCATTTCACGTTTATTGCTCTGTTGTTCCACCACTGATTATGTGTGTTTAAAATAGTGGAAACTGGTGCAACCACTGTGGAAGGCGGTATGGGGCTTTCTCAAAAAGTTGTAAATAGAGATACCATTTGACCCAGCAATTCC